TACACACGTCCTTTCAGATTCAGGGATAAACCATTCTGAGGCCATAGGTGTCTCAAGTTAGCAAACGCGGCCCGATCCTTGCAGATTCGTGCATTCACCTCATCTGTCACACTGCAATCAGAACTAATACAACTTCCAAGGTACTTAAAACGCTCCACAACTTCCAGTACCTCTCCCTGGGTTGTAAGGGGCGTGTTCAGTGACTGCACGTCCGCAAGCATGACCTTACACTTTGTGGGTGCAAAGTGCATACCAAAGGACGGGATGACTTTGGTCAGTTCATCCAAGAATACTTGCGCCTTCTCCTCCTCTTCGAACATGAGAACGATGTCGTCTGCATATTCCAGATCGACAAGGTTTTCTTCACTGGCTATTTGAACACCAGGGTTTTGGAGACCCTCCAGCGTTCGTCTCATTATTTCATCGATCACGAAGTTAAAAAGGAATGGAGAGAGTGGGCAGAGTGGAGAGAGGAGCATCACCCATAGGTGTAATCATCTCCGAAACCCATCGAAGGAGACCATTCTATCTATTTGGGTCCCCTGCACTCTGGTCCTTAGAAACCGGTTTGGAATGAAAAACTTTCGAAGACATATTGAAAACTTTGCTCCATCACTAGCATAATCGAAATGTGCAAACTCCAGAATGCACTATTCAGAAACGCACCATTATCCTATTCCGATAACAAGTCATCTGATTAGCTGAATAGTGATCGCGTCTGTTTTTGAAGTGATGATGGACACAGTGATTTGACCCTCATTGTGAGATATGCAACAAAAAATTTCCCCCTTTTAGAAGACAATGAGCGTTTGCACGAATGCAATTCGTTCTCCGTGTGCTTTAAGCTTAAAAAGAGAGCTTAGCAAACCAACCACTTTTGTCCACGCTCGGAAAGGCTCTTTGTGCAGTAAGCTAGCTATACGCAAGGGAAATAGACAACCAAACAAAATTTCCACAACACGGTCTGACTTTATAGCTGTAGAAATTTTTCAACAGTTCACTTCCAGAATAGATAAGCTGTTACAAAATAATTTGCTTTACTGATGGATGTTCTTCAAACACTTGTAAGATAGTGTTGTATTTTCAATTATCAATTGGCAGTTAGTGTTAAGGAGTCAGTTTTGACCAAATTACTGTTGTTTTGATTATTCTTACTTGGCTCACAGTTAACCTGAAGATAACGGGAGTCATTGAACTATTTGCTAACTCTCATACTGAATAACCACATATTTGGTGTGGGCATTGGAAGCTTTTAGTGTAGCCTTAGGTACGGTATTTGAAAGCGCATTAGACGGGCTGTTAGTAGACATACGCACCGGCTACTTTATGATCATTTTAAATTTGCTAGTATCTACATTATTTTTGCATTTGGAAACCCCAACTGGTCATTTTTAGACAATTCACTGCATCATCGGAGACGTGGACACTAAATGTCATGTCATCAAACGCAGTGCCTTGTGGAAATAAGTAAACTTTACTACACTCAATCAAAATTCGGCTCAATCGAAAATTATTGTTTACAGGATTTTTCAGAATTTCTGGGTAAACTGCGAGAGTGGCCTCAATCAGTCGACATTGTGAGGGAAATTCCCGGTTGGCGAACTTCCCTTAGTTCGGACAAAACGCCGCCAGGAAACTTGACACTTCCTTCCTTCAAATCGCACTTGTAACAGGGAATCCGTCACTCTCCGTACACGCGTTTCTAGTCGTGCTGCTCTGTAAGGGCCATCTGAAACGGTTGACAGATAAGTATATTTTGTTAGGCGTACAAGCGTCAGCAGCTTATGTTTCACCATGTTTCAATGAAATATGCTGATGAGCAAAGGCACAAATCCTTGTCGAATATAAAGTGCCACATGAATCCATTGTATGCTAAAGTTCAAAGCTAATTAAGTATTACGAATCCGACCATGAAAAATAAGGATCAATCGATGTGAAAGCAAATCTTTTTGACTAGAAATGTAAACTAATATCTCAAACAAGTAGTTGGGAAAAAGCAAAACTTGTTATTTTTTCTTTCAACTTGATATAACATAAAATTCTCTCTAAAGTGGATATAGAATTTAACAACCAGACAATCCGAATGAATTTAAATTTTTGGCAAGTGTTTGAAAGTCAGTATTTACTTCTGGTATGTAAATATCTTCTCCGAGAGATTCGTATCATTTTGTTGCTGTTTCATGAAAGCTATACTTTGTGTTTTTCTCCTTGAATGTAACATGGTATATGCTTTTGAAAAGGTAGCCGGTCTTTAAAAACCACCTGCCCCAATTCTCCTTTGATGCGTGCGGTGAATTCAAATAGAGCAACTTGGTACACAGTCGCCTCTAAAAAGCGTGTTTTTGTATTGCAAAATCAGACAGACTGGATGGTCTTGATCCCGGCAGCAGGTTCGTCCGCGCGATGCTTGACGGACGTGTGATTACTTTTACAAGCAGACGAGTCGGCTTGGTCCAGATTCGGCTATTTACAGAAGTGCTCAACTTTTTTATCTCTGATTTGATTACTTCCACCAAAAATCCGAATTTTCCTCCAGGCGATTAAAACACAGGACCAAGTGAATTCGTTTGAACCGACAACTGCTTCAATGCGTATTCTGAATTTAACACCTGTCTCCTTCAATGCTCTAAGCTATCGAAAAACCAGCCAAACTTCCTTGGTTGTTTACCGCCAAAAAATTTTTAAATTGATATCAATATAAACCAAGTCCACTGAGAGCCTGATCTATTTCGGAATAGTAGGTCACCCTTATTGTTCGACGTTCCATAAAATGCTGTTATCCTGCTTCACACAACTTTTTGAGGATGGTTTCCCAGTATAAAAACCACGAAAACAGAAGAAACGACGAAAGAAATTTAGATTAACGAAGTATATGCAACTCAGTGTTCACTACAAAAGCAGACAAATGAAACCCAACATCTTTTATCGATTGATTTTTCGCCTTCAGTCTTCCATCTTTAACTGCTGGCTCTTACAAAATCGAATAGGAACATCGCAAAAATCAGAGTGAGCGAGTATATATATATATATGTGATTGAAAATGGTCAAGCCTTGTGGTTTACACCCACCGGAGTCATGTGGATGCCGTAGACATACTAAACATCGGCTTCTCTGTGGTCCATGCGGCCTATGTTACATTTGAACTCTCTAACTTTCTAAGCGTCCTACTGATTTTCCGCCATTTTTGATGGTTATTCATACTAGGCGTTTGTTTCAGTATTTCGACATGTGAAGTCGACCTACCTGAATGACGACGAGTTATCCGTTAGCTTTGATGTTACGTCCGATGGTACTAGAATCCTTAGATAGGAGTTTATTTTTTTCCTTTTTACCGCCTTCGGTAATTATGACAATCTGGAAAACACAGTCTCTCTCCTTCAATGCTCTAGGCTATCGAAAAACCAGCCAAACTTCCTTGGTTGTTTACCGCCAAAAAATTTTTAAATTGATATCAATATAAACCAAGTCCACTGAGAGCCTGATCTATTTCGGAATAGTAGGTCACCCTTATTGTTCGACGTTCCATAAAATGCTGTTATCCTGCTTCACACAACTTTTTGAGGATGGTTTCCCAGTATAAAAACCACGAAAACAGAAGAAACGACGAAAGAAATTTAGATTAACGAAGTATATGCAACTCAGTGTTCACTACAAAAGCAGACAAATGAAACCCAACATCTTTTATCGATTGATTTTTCGCCTTCAGTCTTCCATCTTTAACTGCTGGCTCTTACAAAATCGAATAGGAACATCGCAAAAATCAGAGTGAGCGAATATATATATATATATATATATATATATATGATTGAAAATGGTCAATCCTTGTGGTTTACACCCACCGGAGTCATGTGGATGCCGTAGACATACTAAACATCGGCTTCTCCGTGGTCCATGCGGCCTATGTTACATTTGAACTCTCTAACTTTCTAAGCGTCCTACTGATTTTCCGCCATTTTTGATGGTTATTCATACTAGGCGTTTGTTTCAGTATTTCGACATGTGAAGTCGACCTACCTGAATGACGACGAGTTATCCGTTAGCTTTGATGTTACGTCCGATGGTACTAGAATCCTTAGATAGGAGTTTATTTTTTTCCTTTTTACCGCCTTCGGTAATTATGACAATCTGGAAAACACAGCGGTTTCATCTCCTGTGAACGTTACACTGGGCGTGGAACCGTGTCTATACACTACTAACTTTGCCTTCCAAAACGTGCTTTATAGGCAAACAGCTGATGCTTATATTGGATTTCTTGCTTCGCACATATTTGCCAAGCATTCTAACACCACACAATAAAATTAAAGCCTCAAACGGCGTTTTCCATTCTTTACAAGTGTGACTGAATTACATCGATGACGTTCTTGCGGCCACGTCGTGGATACAAAACGACGTCTTTCTGTCCCGGTTCAACAAACACTAACGACGCTAATTTTATGATGGTGAATAAAGTTTAAAAGGTAACCGTTATTTTCTTAGGCTGTAGATTGCTGGCAATAGCAAACATCAACTTATTTACAGTTGTTCATCAGGATCCACATGCTGAGCTAAATATCCGCAACATGGCTCTGCACAATTTTCATTACCTCCGTCATCTCTTCGTCTGTACATCGAGACGAAATACTTTTTAGGTACCTATGAAGAGATAAAATAGAAGGCATAATGTTGCACTGAAAAAAAACCTTCTAAACAGCCTACCAGTCAGTATATGTCAAGGCCAACCACAAGATCAAGGAGATCGATAGACCGGTGGTATTAGATGAAATAACCTATGAACCCAGAGCCACTGATCCTATCAAGTAAATCCCAGGGTCCAATGAACGAGATATTCATAATCAGGTTTTTTCAGGCTTCACCCCTGCTTAGACAATGCCCGAATTTTACACGTTTGTCCTGAGGTTTAAATAGCATCCAGCAAGTTTTTTGGACCGATTTTGGAGTATAACGCCCTCAAATCAGTAATATACTTTTCTATTACACATGACATTTGCTTTAGCCGCCAGGATTTGAACTCTCCAGCAATTTCGGCGCATTCTTCAATAATTCACCTTTAACTAGATGCGACACCAGGAAATTCCCCTGAGCCTAACAAATGGTCTTATCTTGTTTCATGCATAGCCATCACGTGCTTGGTAGTGACGTTACAACTCTCATGAGGAGAAATCGTCCTCTCAGGTCGGTAATCTAACAAGATAAATTACATAACACAGACAGTCGGCAGAAACGTTAAACTTTCAGACTCAGTAATAAATTGTGCGCATCCATCAGCCTTTCTAAAACAGCTCAAACTTAGAGGAGTAAAGCCTAGTAATCGGTAAAGCAAATATCATGTTGCCTTGGATGGCTTTACTCCTTTGAATCCACATCTAACAGCATTTATCTTCAAAAGATGTTTGGTCAACGGATTAATTAGTTATCTAGTGGATTAGCAGATCGCGAAAATTCTAACTACAAACATCAACTGGACAGTGCCGGTTAAACAGTGGAAACTTCAAGCCGTTAAAGGAACTATCACTCTAATTACCCAACAAATAAGAAATCCTTTAATAGTTAAGCTCACCCGCGCCTTAACTACAAAAACTAATGACAATACTTATTTCTAGGTCATCCAACGATAACTATGTGGGTAAAAGTATTATCCATACAGAATGCTTATTCAGCGATATCTTAGCACACTTTCTCAAAGCATACGAAATAAAATGGATGTGCTGAATGGGACACAGACTCCCTCCTGCAAACTCCAGTAATCACTTTTTACTGACAAGTCACAATAATCTTATGCAAATGTTTAAATGTTGCTGTTCACACACATTTGTTGTTCGCGAGATGGGATATCACAAAATCGCAGTGGACTACTGATTGATGTACAAGATTTGGGGCACGCGTGACTAAAGTTTCCTGCTCATTATTGGTTAAGAGGCTTCAGGTTTCCCCACTGCCAAGGAGCAAGTGAGGAACTTCAACAGAATCAGGAGACACCGAGAAATTGTTACATACTTCTGACTGAGAGAGAGACAGGTTTATGCTGGAACCTAATGCCTAGTTGATTTCCATGCCAAAAATTTCTCATTGGTACATGGCATATTACTTTCTGAATAGCTTGCTTCTTACTGTCTGTCAAATATTTTATTTAATGTGCTCCGCGTAGAGCTTCCGATGAATAAAATGTACGAATACGTCAAAATCACTCGGTAAAGCGATTGCTGCCAAAGTACCCTGTGAGGTTGGGCTAAACTATGGTTCGCAAAACAGTGGTAAGATTTTGATCATTTCCTCTTCGCCTATGCGCGCCAAGTTTAAACAGTTTTGCTCAACAAACTGACCCAGCTACAAACCAACTTTTATAAAAACACAATGGATTTTCAGTCCCAGATTCCAGTTTGCCAGACAATATATGTCCTGTGGCGTGTGAAATTTGGGTACAACAAACTTTGCAGAGAGCTGACAACCGAAACGGATACATGCTCAGTTTTCAGATAAAGTAGAGTTCAATCAATCACCATTCTGTTAAGGCTACCTTTCATCCATGAGAAAAACAACTGCGCGATATCAAAATTTAATAATTTTTTGAATTTGTAACAGGATTTTATATTTCTGGAACACTCCTAAATGAATTCTGTCTCATTTTGAGTCCAAAAGTGTGGAATTCGTGCAATACCCGAAAAAGCAGTCTATTGTTATTTATAACTTTCTCGCCAACTGACCGAATTTCCAGTGTAGAACTGATTACTCTGTTCGACTGCTTGTGTTTCTTGGACACACCACCGGGAAAAACCTGAAATATTTTACTGCTATCCGCAAGGATATAACATTACTTTTGAAGAAACTTATAGTGTTCATTAAACTGGAAGCTGTCGCGAAAGCTACAACGTCAAATTGTATTTTTCTAGAAAGGATGTGCGCCTGGTCATTCGATTTTATGGGTTTTTAACTCCATATTATTAATTAGAGTATTGGTGGCTTTGTCCGACTGCTTTCATTTCTCTGAGGTTCATTACCGCTTTTGAAATCATCACATTTTTTTACAAATTACGGACAGACTGATGTTGTCAGAAACCGGTGGATGCTCATAAAGATGCCCCTAATTGCGGGGATTTCATAGATTAAAAAACATGACTAATAGAGTACAACTGACAAACCAAGCCGCTAGTCCAAGCTACTCAAGGCATGCTGACCTGCCAACCACTACCTAGATTGCGAGATTCGCCGGAGAAGTCGGAAACCTCAACACTATGTTCCTTTTTTACGAAGAAATTCCACTAGAAGTAAAAATCACTAGAACATTTCTACACCCGCAGTATGAGTTTTTTTACTCGTTCATTTCTCCTCTTTCCTTCCTCTTAAGACGAGCTTGATGGAAAAGCTGATCCGTAGTACAAGTTGAAGAGCGCCCTCAAAGTTTATAGAAGTCCAAAGAAGACGAACATAGCTCAAATCCTTTCCAGTGAAGGTCTCTCTCTCTTTGCTAGCTTTCTAGAATTCAATGAAGAACGGAGTTATTCGCGGTGGAAAATATAGGTGAAAGGAAGAAGGCCTTCGCTGCGAAGCTATTTATTAGGAAATGTTAACTGACCAGTTACAGACCATTGAACAGGGAAGCAAAACACTAATTTGCATCTTATAAAACTGTACTGGACACCCATCTTTTCCCAAACACGTTCTCTTGAACTTTCCTGGAGATTCATTTACTCCACCCATTCGTCGGTCAGATCCAAGCAAATGTTACAAAGTGGCTCCACGAATTCCGCAAAAGATCTCCCCTTTTCAGAAGACGCAAAGCGAACTTCTACGAATAACACATAGTACTCGCGTGCCCCCTCCCACCGTTACATGGGTGTCTCTCCGCTAAATGAGTTTCATTCTATCTGTAAAACCGTCAAATCTAATCCACACGGAAAATGCTTGCGCTTGGCAAATACAGAATGTTGAGACTTTCCTCGAGGTTTGTTCATTAATCTGTTTGGAAAAGCAGACAAGAGAGTGTGATTCCATTTCCGTGGCCTGGATTGGGTCCCCGACGAGCTAAAAATGATCTGCTACTTATGGTACTTCCGACTACCTTCACAACCGAATAACACGATTTTACCAATTTCTGCATAGATCGCTCAAATATATTTACCCGGCGAAATCCGCCGGCAGATTGGTGAAAAAATACGTATAAACAATCTGGTGACATTTTCTGCGTAAACAAATTATTTTGTGGGATTCGAATTCGCAAATGTTTCATGCAATTTCTGACCTTTCACGTTTTGTGGATCTCAGCCAATAATGATGTGGCTCTCCGCCAGGACTGTAAATCATTCCCTCATTCATTGGAATAGGTGTTTGGTGCCCTCAAGATAGACATAGTCCACAAAACGTTTTCGATTCACGAAAACCATTCTAACGGTCCCGGGCGTTGTTGCAAAATAACAGTGATGTAAAACAAAACGTCAAGAAAGCGAAACAGTCTTGTTAGCATTACAGTTACTTCCTGAAACGTTGGTACGGGAAGTCAAATTGAATGTGATTACGTGAAATACTCGAATGTCAGCACACGATTAAAACGAGTGAGTAGTAGGAAACCACAGTACACCTCACAGATGAAGTTTTGAAACAACCACAACGGCCTGGGCTGCTTGTATTTGGACTACATTATTTCCTGAAAGTGATTCCTATAGGTCAGTTTTGTTATATCTGGCTTCCTTCGCAGATTACTTTGTCATTGCCCAGACGAACGAAGGGATATCTGTCTACTCTCAACTACAAATTCATTGAAAAGCTGACCAATATAACGAATCCTTTAGCCAGTTAAGGACCAAATCGTGTCCAAGTATATTAAACTGAAATTTGTCCGCTCGCGAAACAAAACCTGTCTGCATTTCTTAGGGTTTGGCAATAATTCATCGCAGGCTTTCTATCGACCCAGTCATATTGGCACGTAGAACGTGATAGCTTGAGGCAATAAGTAGGTGTAGGTATGTTGAAGTTGTGTGAAATACTATACACTATCCAAAACCAAATGTAGAATTTATAGGCACGTGTAACAACGCCATTACCACACCTCCCGGCTTCACTGGCTGGACAAGTTCTCGTTCCGTGATTTTACGTTTTCTACCGCAACCACATTTCCCATTTGAAATTCCACAAAAAGCTCATCATTTTCATATACTCCTGAAGTCTCTGATTTCTTTGGATAAGGTCTACTATTGATCTCAGTAAACCTGTTATGACATTATGCAGCTATCAACCAACTAATTCCATGTTAAAAGTATGCTAAGAAAAGGAAATATGATTTCAGAGCGGTCTATCAAGATGGGCTACCTATGTACGAGTTTCCGTTAAAAGGCATACTGTTGTTTAGGATGTTTCAATGATTGGCGACATTGACAGTACTGTCTCAACCTATCAACACCAGACTAGAATACAAACTAACGGATGTTTACGAGTTGCTGTCTCGAATAGCATTAATTCCATTCCACAGAACGAAACATGTAAACTTTCCTGTGCCTACTGGGAAGATTAGGCTGTCTCAAATCTCCTGATCTCGTCAACTTGCCGTTTTAAGCTCATCACAATTATCACCGTACAAGCAACAAACAAAAATCGCCTATTACGGTGCATATAGGGTCTAATAAAAGGCTCTTAAGAGGCCA